TACGCACATACACACACGCACACACACACGCACGCACACGCACGCACACACACACACACACACACACACACACACACACGCACGCACACACACACACACACACACACACACACACACACACACCACTTCCGGAGCACGTAACAAGGAAAAGCCGTTGTTTGGTGAGAGGTCGCGACAAAGAGGCTATATGACATTTCGTTCTACAGAGAGGCGATGTCGGGTATCGTCCGCCAGCTCGGACGTGCTGATCTCCCTCTCGCAACATTACGCGACCATATAGTCTAGCGCAGACCTGCGATTTTTGGTTGCTCGTCGCTGCAACCTGCAACCGCAAGCGATCGGTTGATGTGTCGCCGCGTGTGCGCACACATGCGATTTCGAAGCATGACGAGATTCGACTAGATTCGACGTCGATTTCGACTAGAACAATTTAGGTGCGATTGGGAGCGAGGGGTCGTTCAAAATCAAAACAGTTTGATTTCTTGCAACTCGTCGCAAGCGACCAGAATCGCTACGGGTTGCAGTTGCACGTTCCCGCAGACGTAGCGATTTCACAGCAATTTGTACACGGTTCTAGAATGAATCGCTGTCGAGTTGCACGAAAAAGTCGCAGGTCCGCGCGAGGCTTATTGTACAGCTGACTTCCACATCCCTGCCTACACCTGCATTATTTATTTATTCGTAGATTGCTAAATTACAGGTAACGCGCCCGGCTGTACGTAAGCTGCGGCGTCAAAACCACTGGCACCTTATTTCTACTGATTTGTTGGAACTGGCAGTGGTCAAAACATGCGGAAACCTCGCGCGCGTGTAGCGTCCACGCTTCTCCTGCGGGCGAGTATAATAAATGGTCTATGGCAGGAATGAATATAACCTCCCCGAGTTTTCTCTAAAGTCGAGCGCATCACGCGATAAAGGATCTCGTTTCGAGATTGTGTGCGAGATTTTTTTTTTCTCCGCGTGCGCTCGCGTCTCGGCGAGTGCATTTTCTTTGTATTGTAAAATATGATGCGTGTGACTCGATGCCTGAATGCATCACACTCGTACGAACGAGACCCCGCCGATGCGGCCGTCTCGTGGATAAGCAGCTGAGAGTGTTACACGAGGAAGCGCGAGCGTTTATCGGACTGCCAGCTAATGATCACCAGCGAACCGAGTGCTGGCCGTTAAACGCTAACACACTCGATAATGCTGCTACCTCATCTTCCTCATCATCCTCTTCCTGCTCCTCCTCCTCCCCCTCCTCCTCCTCCTCCTCCTCCTCTTTCCTCCTCCTCCTCCTCCTCCTTCCTCCTCCTCCTCCTCCTCCTCCTGTTCCTCCTCATCATCATTCATCATGATCCTCCTCCTCCTCGTCTCCTCTTTCGTCTCTCCTCCTCCTGCTGTCCCTGCTCCTCCTCTCTGCTCCTCCTCCTCCTGCTGCTGCTCCTCCTCCTCCTCCTCTCCTCCTCCTCCCTTCATATCATCATCATCATTATCCGATCATCAGCCAATCCTCCTCCTCCTCCTCCTCCTCTCGCTCCTCCGCCTCCTCCTCTCCCCTCTCCTCAAGATCATCTTCTGCCTCCTCCTCGTGCTGATGCTCCTCCTCTTGCCTCTCTTGCTCCTCCTCGTCCTCCTCCTCTGCCTGCTCCTCTCCTCTTGGCTCCTCTTTGTCCTCCTTCTCCTGCTGCCTCATCCTGCCTCTGCTCCTCCTCGTCCTGTTTCCTGCTCCTCCTCCTGCTGCTGCCTGGCTGCTGCTGCTGCTGCTGCTGTGCGTGGTGGTGGTGGTGGCTGGGGTGCGGTAGTGGTGTAGTGTGTGGTGGTCGTGGTGCTGGCTGCTGCAGGCCGCTCTCCTCGACCCCTGCCCTCCCCGCCCCCCTGGCCCCGAGCCCGACCCGCGGCTGACCTGTCCTGACCGCACCTGCCTCCTCTCCCCGGCGCTCCCCGGGCCGTTCCGCGTCCCCCTGCTCGTGGAGGTGGTGGTGGTGCTGCTGCGATCTGATGGTGAGCTGCGTGGTGTGCTTCGGTGGTCGTGCTGCTGCTGCTGCTTCCTGCGGTTGTCGGTGCGTGCCGTGATGCTGCTCGTCCTGCTCTGCTGGCCCTGCTGGATACTGCTGCTGCTGCTGCTGCTGCTGCTGCGCGCGCTGCTGGTGGTGGTGTGGTGGTGGTGCTGGTGTGGTGGTGGTGTGTTGGTGGTGCTGCTGCTTGCTGCGCTGCTGTGCTGGTGGTAGGCTGGTGGTGTGGTGTGCTGCTAGGTGGTGGTAGCGCCGTGCATGTGTTGTGTGGTGAGTGCTTGCTGCTGTCGGCTACTGGTGACTGCTGCTGCCCTGCCCTGCTGCTGCCTGCTTACTATTACTACTGCTGCTGCTACTACTACTGCGCCGCTGCTGCTGTTGCGATTACTGTACTGGTGCTCGTACTTGCCTGCTCATTACTGCTTACTGCCTCCTGCTGTTGCTGCCTACTGACTCTACTGCTGTGCTGCTGCTACTGCTGCTGCTACACCCATTACTGACGGCGTCGACCGCAGACACGTTATCCGGCATCCACGAATTTTAATTGGTCGTTGTCATCTCCGCACCGATTTATAATTGGGCGCCGCGTGGAGAACGCGTGCAAGCTGCGCCGTGCGCCGGGAGCTTAGAGAGTACACAACTCGAACCCGGGAGTAAGATTCCGCTCCGCCTAGAGAATTTATTGATATTAGGTTGACATATTCACGTGGCGGCGATGCGAACATATGGGTACTTGACGGCACGTGGGCGGCGCGGGCGGGCACGTCTCAAAGCAAGCGTTATCAGAACGGATCAGTCGCATTCTTAGAATCTATCGACGTCGTCGTCCGTGGTGGAAATTTTTCTAGTTACATGTCGCCAAAAAATCAAAGCGAAGGTTCATTACTGAAAGTTTAAATTTTGTGAGCGAATCTAGGAGGCAAACTCCCCCCCCCCGCACACACACACACACACACACACACACACACCACCACCACCACCCCCATAATCCGCGTTCTTTGCGAGAGTGATCGCCTCTGTGACAATCAATAAATACAGGAAGACATTTTCCTTCTAGAACCACAAATGGCAAAGCGATGCCCGTCAACCTCACCGGTCTGCAGGAGCTGTTGGAGCAGACCACTGCTCTACACGGGGGTGAGCGGGATGGGGAGGAGCACCTTCAGGTGACATTGGGCCACGCCCTGATGATGGTCAGTCTCGAGGAAGGACTGCTGCCGTACGCCGAGCTGTTGCTACAGTACGCGAACGCCGCGGGCGTTAACTTTGCCGGTGAGTGCGGACGTGATGCTTCGTAGCAAAGGTCGCTCCTAGAGATACGGTGCCGCTGCCGCACAGCTTGTTAATTAATTTAGCGCTAATTAAAACAGAATCAGCTTTACGTGTCGTATTTTTAACATTGCGCGAGCGAGCCCCCCCCCACACCTGTGACGTCACGCCCGTAGCGATGATGGCATGTCGCTGTGCTGAACAATGACTGATGATGATGAAGCTGATGATGATGATGATGATGATGATGAAGCAAGATTAAAGTATAGTAACGAGCATTATAGATTCGGAATGCGTGCTGGTTATGTGTGTGTGTGTGTGGATCGTAGCGTGGCGTACGGCAGTGGTTGTGGGGTGATGTTTATTATGCGTTTTGGCAATCTGAGACTCCCCACCCGCCTGTGTGGAATTCGGTTATGAATCAAAGCAATGTTATCAAACAGAGGTGAAATAAAAGGTCACGCTAATTCGTCGTTTTTAAGCTTTCTATTCTATTTCTACATGGGATCTAGTGCCTGCTGACTTACTATGGCTGATTTCGTACCAGTATTATAAATTATTGCATGAAATTTTCACTTCGGACTTTCGAATAAGGTACACAGGGAGTTAGACGCACCGTGTCATTTCCTCCTTGAAATTTCGAGCACTGAAAGGCAATGTTGGAATCTAGAAATACGTCGAATGCCTAATTGAAGATATGAACCCGAAATGTTTATCAACGACTGTTCTATAAAAAAGCAGCACATTTGGAGCATTACCGAGTATTTTTTTATTTATACTCGAGCAAGGAACAGTCGACTACATTTCACGAGATGACAGTTCGCGTTAACATTATATTACATTAATACATTAATTAGCATTAATACATTAACATTAGCCGGAATATGTCTCAAACCCCAAACAAATTGACTTGAGCGCAGTGTGACAAATACTTTGCATTTTATTGCAAAACAGCCTCTGCGTTTGCCGTTCATCCGTAAGCTAAGCATATACAGTAACACCTTCAAGATGAAGCACACCACGTTACTATAGATTCCCCCCCGCTTCATATGCACCAGCTGTATTCTAAGGCCCGATTAAGTGAAATGTCATCTCAGGTTTACTATATGAAGATCATCACATTCTTCGTGTTTTATCCTAATATCACACCAAAGGGCACCATCGTCTCGCGGAAACTAATCTTATTCATTTTACGACGTGGCCCTAGTCGTAAAAAGCGGCGCACGCCAATGTCCTTCAAAAACAAACTTCAGATTTTAATTAGCCGGCAGTGCGTCGTATTGTATTTAATATAATTAAATGGCTTATTTTTTTATAGTTGTGCTATTCGCATCGATTATGTGGTATTCTCGCAGGAGGAAATACAAAGATTTTGGAAGCCCGAAAAACCCCCGCCAGAAGAAATGGAATTATTTAATAAAGAAATAAATAATGGCTATTTGTAAATGTTGAAAATTGCCAGACGCAAACGCACCGCGTTGTTCCCCGGGGACGGCTCGGCATAGCTCTCACGCAGATTGCAAAACCTTCGGAAAAATCGTTATCTCACTCATGCACAGGCACGCTTTTTATAACCGTTCTTACAAGCGAGCTGCTCTCTCTCTCTCTTCTCTCTCTCTCTTTCTCTTCATCTCTCCTCTTTCTCTCTCTCTCTCTTCTCTCTCTCTCTCTCTCTCTCTCTCTCTTTTCTGTCTCACATCTCCTCCTCATCTACTTC